CTAATATAGACAATGGGTCGTGCTCATATTATTTGTTATATTTATATTATTCATTATTTTCACTTGACTCGCATAAATAATTTTGTTCGAAGAAAATTTTATGCAGTTGTACTTCGCAGCACTTCACTTGCAATTTGCAATTTCTAGTAGATTTATAAGTGGTTTTTATAAAATTGTTTATAGATTTTCTATAGGTTTAAGGTTTTTTTATATAAAATTTTCATTGACTTTCTATAGATTTTTAATAAATTTTTCATAGTTTTTTTTATATAATTTTTATAGATTTTTAAGTCTTAATATAGTTAATATTTAATATTTATTAACTGTAGAGTTTTATAATTTTTTTAAATATTTTTTTTGTATTTTTTTAATAGATTTTTAATAGAGTTTATTAGATTTTTAATGTAGTTTTAATAGATTTTTAATAGACTTTTATAGTGGGCTTCTATAGTTATTTCTATAGATTTTCTACACAATTATGCTATAGACATTCTATAGTTTTTTTGATAGAATTCTATAGAATTTTTTTGTATGGGTTCTCTGGAGCAACTTCATCTCTTAATGTACAAAGGACATTATTGCACTTAGCAACTGCAGAGTCAAGATTATTATTTTTAAATTACACGATATATAAATAGGGTAAACCTTCCAGGTAAGCCAAGGAAGTCAGCTGATATTGAGGAGCTCTTTAAAAAAGTAAAATACATGACAATTCAATACATCCAAACACATATAGAATGTAAAAAAACCCCAAGAAACAGTTAAATTATTCAGAACAGCAACTATCAGACAGACGACACATAATAAATCATCTTAAAATGTAACAAATTATATAAAATATATTTATGTACTTATATACAAGATACCGTAAAAAGGCTAATGAGGGTTAAAATGTATCTTTTAAATTTAAGTTTGGAAGTAATTTCATGTGTACAACAATCAAAATAAAAGTTTAATTAAAATCATTTGTAATAATACTGTAAAATGTGACTGCAAGTTGAGTGGCTTGGTTAATTAGCTGTGTTAAGGTGGTGGATTGAAGAATATCTAAAATCGTTTTTGTACAGATCGGTAAAGTGTAAGTTTAGATCACCAGTGATGACAAACTTTGAAACATGGAAAGCTATTTAAACTAAGTTAGAAAATTCAGTGTAAAAATAATGCATGTTGGAGGCTTGCATATCGTAAAAATGTTGATCTCTTTGGCAGATAATCACAGATTCAACTGCTTTAAAGAATTGAAAGCGATCTAGGCGACTGGGCACTTGGCTGGTAGTTTCAATATTACAGCAACGCCTCCACCCCTCTTACTCCCCTTGGAAGTAAAGATAATCTGTATCCGTCTGGCTCACAAACTGCAATGATATCCGAGTAACCTTCACTGACCTCTGTCTCGGTGATTAGAATGATGTCTAAAGCGTTATCAATAACATGATTATTGCAAAAAAAATATCTTTATTTACAGAGACTGTACGTTCCCCACCCCTCGTCTTAAGAACTTAGGTTATCTTTCTGGAAGGGATTCGAGTTTACCTTATAGTGAAAAAACCGAGTTGTGTTTTCTGTTTCAATTTTTTTCTGTTAGGTTTCAATTTTCATACTAATGTTTTATTTTCGGAACTTCCATTTTGTGGTTCTGATTTACATTGGCTCCGTCCACATAAATTATAGTCAAAAATATTATTAGACTTAAGTTAAATTTATACAGATTTTGAGCACCTAATTATTTTATAATTATATTTCTAGACAAATGCAACAATCGTTTAGGAATGGAGTCACGAGATATACCATCAGATGCTATTGTAACTTCGAGTGATTGGGATAGTAATCATGCTGGCCGCCGAGCGAGGCTCAACATATTACCAGATAGTGATGGAATAGGGGCTTGGTGCGCTAAGACAAACATTCTAGGCCAGTGGATTCAAGTAGACTTGGGGAATATAACGAATGTGACCGGCTTAATCACACAAGGACGCATAGCATATTCGCAATATGTTACCGTTTATAAAGTAGATTACAGCTTAAATGGACTACAATGGCAATTTGTGTCACAAAATGGCTATGAAAAGGTATGTAAAAGTGAAGTTAAAATTTTAAAAAAAATAAAGAAATCATAAAATACATATATAGGCCTATTGTGTATATATATATATATATATATATGTATATATATATGCCTATTGTATATATATATTATATATTATATGGTTTAAGAAAAACATTAAAGTAATAACAGAACAATAAGGAAAAAACTAAAATTGACACATTAGATAGAAAAATAATTGAAGTAAATTAATCAAAAGAATTAACGACGATTAATGATAAATAATTAAACTAATATAAATAGTAAAATTTAATATATACTGATTTATAGAAGATATATAATTTACTACACAAAACAGAACAAAATATTTGAGCAAAAAGAGATGGCCACGGGTAATCAAAAGAATTAACGATGATTAATAAATAATTATACTAATATAAATAGTAAAATTTAAAATATACTGATTTATAGAAGATACATAATTTATTATACAAAACATAACAAAATATTTGAACAAAAAGAGATGGCCACGGGCAAAATTACACCAGATTGTATGAAAGGTAACTCAGAAGGTTAGATTTGAAAAAAGAGAAAGAGAAAGCAGAACGGAAATCGGTGGAACAGAGTAGTAGATATAAGGAGAATTATAGCTAAAGTTTTCTAAATTAGGCTTAGGAATGAGAAGAACATCTTTAGTGATTTGTCTTGTGGTCATGCGGCCATTGGCAACAATCCTTTTGAGCCACTGACAAAGAGTTTGTAGAGCAAGGTTATTAAGTTAAACAGCAGAGTTGAAATTAAAAACGGAGTTGAAGGGGAAGGGTATTGGCAGATCTGAAATGAGTAGGAGTATGGTGAGTGGTAGGAGGAAGTTTCAATAAGATACGAATAGCTTTGTTCTGGATCTTCTGAAGTTTAAAGAAAGAGGTATATTTTGATCCCCAAACTGGGCAACAATAGTCAAGGCGATAGAGAAACCAAGAATTGTAAAAGTAGTTGAAGGGTATAGTCTTTAGTAAATTTTGAGGTGCATGCAAGACGATGACAATGGAGTTAAGTTTCTTACAAAGGGAAGATAGGTGAGACTTCACATGTTAGAGTGTTATCAATAATTATACCCAATTCTTTTAGTGAAAATGAATCTTATTGCCTAATATCATTTGTTTGCAATTTTTAAAAGCGGAATGCGCTATATTTATATTAGTGATCTTTAAAGTACAAATGACAAGAAAAGATGTAATAATATTATAATGCTACAATTTTAACAAGGACGAGGCCCACTCTTGTTAGTAAAATAATTATTATTATTATTATTATTATTGTTGAAGTTCACCCAATTGTTTCTTAAGATTTTACAATCCTTTAATTTCAGAAGTTTCAGAATAAAAATTTCCCGAAAAGTCAACACCATGGACTTTAGGTCTGTTACTTTTAAGTGTTTCACCCTCATTTCAATAAACGGTCTATCCCTATAAGCCAATTCAATTCGACGTAACTCTCGCTTAACCAGTGGATCTCAAAACCCCTTCCACCAATCTTTGTTTTGAATTAGAATCTTAGAGGTATTTTAAAGCTTTCTGCTCCCCTGGCATGGAAGCTTCAATTAATCGGAGTAACATTTCATCAACGCCAAGCTATACTCAGCAATGGTTTCATGATCTAACTTGTCTAGAGTAAAACAAGGTATTCAAAACAGGTACAGATTCATCAGGACAAAACGTAGTTTTCAAAATCTCAATCGCTTTCTTCACATCTTTTCCTAAATCTAATACAGACATTTGATAATGTACTTATCTTTTAGCAGATCCCCCAAATAACTAACCAAGGCATCATACTTTACATCTCCATCCAGCTGATATTGCGCACAGTAAGTCTCAAAATCCTCAGCCACTCACACAATGTAATATCTCCAGGGGCTTTAGGGTGACCCTTTAATTTATACATTTTAATAGGAGGTGGGACTTTTTAAACATTCACACCTTTTAACACATCAGTCAACGCAGCAATCATGCCACCAAAACCTTCAGTTTCGGTGCAAGCAAGTTTCTGAGATTTAGCCATATCGCAATGACGCAAGTGGACCTATACATGCAATTCCGATTACAACATTATTATCCAAATAAAAATGCTGTTACCTTCAACATAATAACAATTCCCATTATCTTCACTATTTATTTAGCAATATAACAAATAATGAATCAAATGTAAAGTTCTTATCTGTCTATGATATCATCTCCAACTCAAGGGCTGATAATATCGCTAAAGTCTTGTACTGTCGCGTAGAGCTTCCAAAAATAGATGCACGATGCCTCTTGTACCCTGCTCACAGCACCAAGTTCGTCGTGGTTCGATTTTAGAAAGATATTGAAAAGGGAGGTACTATCCTCCTTGAGTAGTTTAGACTCAGTTGGTAATCAATCACCAGACAAATTCTTTGTCTATCATTCAACGTTTTATTTGCACATTAAACCAAAGCGAAATTTTAAAAAACCCTGCAAAATATAATTAAATATAATGCGTTATAATTATATAGTATATCAAGCATAACAACATTAGGCAAGTTATACCATTTAACAACAATTCTGATATAACCTGGCAACACACCAAAATCAGAAACAATTTTTCATTAAATAGCATAGCCTAAATGGTGTAATAACTTGTATTTACCTCAAGTTAGAGTCTGCTTAATGCACAAGTCTGTAAACAACGACAATTGGACGCTCCAACAACACTTCTGAAACTACAGACTATTGGACACTCCAACAAACTTCTGTTAACTACAGACTAATAATGGCCACCAAAACTTCTGTAACTTCAGACTATTACTGACCACCAAAACTTCTGTAACTTCAGACTATTACAGGCCACCAAGCTAACGGTATATAAATCACTAAACAAGAATATGACAATTATAAGTAATAACAATCACTCTCCATTAGCGGAATGTAGAATAACATTAATAATATTAACAACTCATGTAAATGTACAGCACAATAATATTAACAATGCATTCAACACCGGCATCAATCTAATACGGACATGAATTAACTACAGATTATAATATAACATGCTTATATCTTATAGATTAGAATATACACTTACATCATGAACTGCATATTGCCAATTGCCAACATAACGAACTGCATACTGCCAAAATAACGTGTGCAGGGTTTGCAACGGAACAAACGAAAACCCGTAGTAAAAGCCCACAAAAGCATATATACCGCGGAACAGCTGTGTATTTGCATGAATATGCACGAGATGAATATGCAAATTCAATAACAATAAAGCAAACAATAGTAGCTGCAGCGCAATCCCCATTGCACGAACAAATCGCATCATCACATTAACAATTCTTATTAATTCATAATTCTAATTTTAATTATTAGTTACAATTCATATTAATTATTATTTTCAATTAAAAAGTGAATATTTATATTTACAATTATGTACTAAAATAATATTTGTTAATATGTTTGGCTATACAAAACAGCATGTAATACAGAGAGTATAGGGCTTGATAACGTATAGCTGGGAAGTTGTGGTAAATTAGCCTACAAAGTTACGTCTTTCCTTTCGAAATTAAAGTATTATTGGTTCCATTGTAAAAGAAAAAAAAATGTACACGAAACACCGAAAACATCTCATATTTTCCTAAATTTCAAATTCAATTAATAGGTTAGTCTTAAAATTCAATTTGAAACAATCGAATTTAATCAGATTCAATCTAAAGCAAATCCAATACAATCCGATCCAACCCAATCCAATCCAGTCCGATCCAGTCTAATCCAAGCGTATTAAATTCACCTTAATTCAGTTCATTCGGGAATGACATTTACATTTAATAAAATTTATAATTGATTTTTTTTTACTGATTTTTGCCGACTTTTTGTCTGCCTTTAATGTAATGCACCCTTGGGTGTCGTACGTAGCAAAAGTCTATGTTAAAATCAAAATGTAATTGCAAAATTCCATGTCTAATTCATCAAAACATAGGTCTAATTTCTTAAAATGTAGGTCTAGTTTCCGAAAACGAAGTTCTAATTTTTCAATACGTAGTTCAAATATTCCAAAAATGTAGTTCTTATTTCTTTAAATTGTAATTCAAATTTCAAAACGTATACTGTATATGCCTTGATCAAAAGCCCTCTCCAAATAGACCGAATCGGCGGCTCGGTTCACGTGAAGTATAGTAGGTATTAAGGTTTGTTAACATCTCTCATCGAGATCGCGAGACGACAGTGCGTTGAATATGGCTTCGCCTAGTTGTTGATGCAATTCACATCATAGATGTTGCAAATGTTTTTTTGGAACGCGAGTTTTAATTTGCTAAATCACTTTGAAAAAACTTCCTGCCTGTATTCCCACTATCAATTAGAGCCTTACCAAACCAAACTGATAGTGTTTGAAAATTTAATTTCTAAGTGATTTAGTGATTTTAGTTTTTTCAAAGAAAGGTACGGTACATTCACGACGTATATGTTGCTCTTGGAGTTGTCGCCGAGTGAGGTACATTTTAGGCCCAAGTCAAGAATATTATAGTCGTGGCAAATGCTATCACAGCGTGAAAGAAATGAATTTCCCCATTCGTTGCAAGAGTATTGTTTTACAGTTATTTAAATCTAAAATGAAGTCATAGGATGTTAGTAGTTATTTCCGAGAATGATGATCGTCATGACATGAACAAATAGCCTAATACATACTGGCATTAGGATTATTGTACCATACAACCAGGTCTATTTACTATCACCAGCATGTTTCCTACACTAAGTTCGGTTGAGTAATCAGTGACGTTAAGGGCTATTTTCTACTCTATTACCTATTGACTACAGAGTCGAGGCATAACAACTCTCTACCTTATCCAGGCCCTCTGGTCAAGGCTGAACACTAACAGTGCAGCCTAGTAGGCCTATACTTGTATGTATAGCAGCATTCCAGAGGCTAAATAAAATGCACGGAGATTGCCAAAGTAATTATAAATCACTATTAAAAAAAAAAACAAAAAAAACAAAAAAAACAAAAAAAAACATAGGTCTACTGCCTTACTTTACTTTCGCTAATTTTAGTACTATATATACCAGCTAGAGGCGCCGATTCGGTCTATTCTGTTTAAAACCACCAAAGCATGATTGGTTTATTTACATTTTACAACGACAACTAGACATACGAAATATAAATCAAAAATAGCCAGCCAAGCATGACGGGGCATCATTAATGATGAGGGAATAAACTTTCGCTGTAGTTCAATGCCATGAACAATACTTCCCAACGCGTCTGTAATGCTTAAGCGATCACGGGAGCGTAGGCCTATTTGGGCCGGGATAAGGTCTTGGACTAGGATAGCCTAAACTATAGGAGGCCTCTTTAAACTAGGCTTATGTCAATAGTATAGTAAAATAATGTATAGCCATATGAATACAGGTTTACTTTGTACCAAGGTCGAAATTAACAGTTTCATTTTTCTTTTCATTAAAACAAAAAAACAAAAAAAAATACAGGAAGAAACTTTAAAAGAATTACATTTAGCTTAAGGATTCTAAAATACTGTAAAATCTTGAAAATAAGCCCAGTGGGCTTAATCTTGAAATGCACATCTCGAATTGAAGCCCCTCTTTAGTTTGCAAAAGTAGCCTCGAAAAGAAGCCCATCTCGAAAAGAGTACTAGGACAGATGTTTTGTTTTGTGGAGGACTGGGTAATTTTCATGGAGAGTCGTTATTTATAGATATCCATCATGCAGACACACTTTCAATATATTAATCATGCAATAGAAGATTCTGCCAAAAAATATTAAATACAGGTCTATAATAACACATGTTCATCTATATTTTTATTAAATATTTTTCTACTAAGAAAATCATAAGCGACTGTAATAACTAAAGCAATATAAAAGGGCAATTTTTTAAATTGGTACAAACTGATATAATGACTATAACGTGTTTTTAAAGTCACACCTGGTATCTTGTATCAAGACAGGATACAAGATACCAGGTGTGACTTTAAAAACACGTTATAGTCATTGCTGACTTATAAAATCCGCATACGCCTTAAAACTAAAAGAAAATGCATAATTTGGAGTCCGTACTGAGCCCAAAAAATCCGCAATGAAAATATAATGTGTTTACTGAAAATTTAAGGAAACATTGAAATGTACAATATACTGATAACTTACAATAAAACGGCACGTGAATTTATGTTCTTATATTATTATTATTGTTGTTGTTTTTGTTGTTTTATTCCCCGACGGAATGTACTCGTCCTTCCCGACGGGGGTGGGGCGGGGGAAGTGCAAAATATATCCAGAGTGTATCTATAATTTAACCACAAATTTTCCACTTGTCACTGCCTCAACTCAGTCATACCACGGAAAAGTTAAATTACTTGTAATTTAACTGTTCCCTAGTCATAGTTGTACTAAATATCAATTAACCATTCATGCTTCATCATTACTATAATTGTCACCATGGGATTTCATAAATACCGTAAAACCTCGATTTAAAGTTAAATAGACTTAATCACGAGATGAAGCCCATCTTAAATTGAAATTCCCTCTTTAGTTTCTAAAATTATCCTCGAAAAAAAAAAGCCCATGGGCTTTTTTTTCAAGACATCATAGGTTTTTTTTCGAGACAGTACATACACTGTACATGAATTTCAAGAAACAAAATATATTGAAAACAAGCTTGGTTTAGACAGTAGATTTGGTGATTTAATGCCAGTTAAATACACTCCATGGATACAGATTGATGTTACAATGACCTTATTTATTGTTTCATAGTACGAATTCAAAATTTACAGCATTCATTTTGAAAAGGTGGTGTAGGCAAAATCTCGTGTCGGTGAATGGTATTTCGGTCAATAGTCTGTAGGCCAAATGGCTTCTACTATTCAAGGTTTTACGGTATTTTAGAATCTATTAAGTTAAATTACTTTTTTGTTTTGTTCATATTTTCAATGAAAAAAAAAATTAAATCTTTAATTTCGACATTGGTACAATGTAAACATGTGTTCGTATGACTTACATAATTTTGCTATACTTTTGGCCTAGGCCAGCCGTTGTTCATGCCATTGGACTGCAGCGAAAGTTGATTCCCCAATCATTAATGGAACAGGCCCCGTCATGCTTGGCTGGCTAGTTTTGATTTACATTTTGCATGTCTACTTGTTGCAAATCAAATCAGTCATGCTCGGGTGGTTTTTGATTTACGTTTGCAAAATCAAGTCAGAACTACTTTTGAAATTTGAATTACATTTTAAAGAAATTTGAACTACGATTTGAAAAATTAGAACTTTGTTTTGAAAAACTATACCTACATTTTTGAGAAATTAGACCTATGTTTTGATAAATTAGACATTGAATTTTGCAAATACATTTTGATTTTAACAGACTTTTGCTGCCTATGTCACCCCATAGTGTTCTGGTTAAAACATTGGAAACTAATTTTATTATAAAAGATGATTTATAATAATGTGGATTTCTGATTTTTAGTTAATAATAGATACTCCAAATGGTATCCCTCCAGGGATGTGTCTAATTCCCATTACTTTATATTCTGTATACTGACGACTGTCGTAGCACACATGAAAATAGTTTTATTGTTAGGTTTGCAGATGGTTCTGTTTTACTTACACTTCTTAAGGATGGAATAATAGTCATGGTCCTGTTTTAGATGGGAGTCAGAGAATTTTCTGATGACTCAAAATTGAAACTACACGTGTCCAGGATAAAGGATATGATTATCGATTTTAAAAATAAAGGACACAGCCCTGGGTTTACATACTTAAAATAACGAACCAGTTGAGATTTTAAATTCTAACACGTACCTTGCTGGGGATTAAATGCTGATACCTTTATTGAAAAAGGAAATTATACATACTCAGGAAATTAAATGAATTTAAAGTAAATAAGTCAATATTAAAAGTTTTTTTTATAACTCCTTTGTTGAAAGTGCCATCATTTTTTTCTTTTATATGTTGGTTTGGTAATTTTAATCCTTAAGATAGGAATAGGAAATTCAAGTGTGACAAAACGGAAGTTCAAATGAAAAAATGATAATTTAAGATAGCACCGTATATACCTTTAATGCTTTGTCTGTAAACTATGTGTTTGTTGTATTTCTGTATTATTATCCATATGTATTCAGTCCTGTTTTTTTTTTTTTTTTTTTTTTGGAATAGCCTCATTTGGGATGAATACATTTTTTTTTTTTTGGAATAGCCTCATTTGGGATGAATAAAGATTATGTTGATATTAACATTGATATTGATACCGCAAGCATTAAGATATATGATTTTTATTTATGTTGATCGTTAGATATAACTTTATATTTGAGCTTTATCATGGTGCAAGACTTAGAAATTGAGTCATTCTAGTTCTTTGAGGTCGATATGAGGAGTTGTGATTTCTGAATTTTCTGTTGTTGGTCTCGATAAAGTAGAAGTCGATTGCTAGATTTGTACCATTGTTAGTTTTCTGTCTTAAGATGCAATCGCCATCTCGATTCTAGGATTTCTAATGAGAGAGGCCTTGCAATAATCATTCGGAGTTACGATGAAAAGTGTTCAAATTTAGGTATTTGTCTTTCGTTAATCTCTATTACGATTCTATACTATTTAATGTTGTCTATATTTTCCATTATTCTGACTTCATCTTTCATTCACTCTCACTTACGCTACATAATAAAAAGTTTTTAAAAACAATATTCTCCAATACGTCATTTAAAACAAGATATTTCAGTAATAATCATTCAGTTCAGGTATTTAAAATGGGAAGGGACCTGTTAAGGAAGGCCTCTCAAGTAGGGGCCTCTTTAGAAGCTGTTGGGTAAATACGCTGACAATTTAATCGACTTTTAAAGACTAAGTCTCATAATTTGTAAACATTATTCATATAGACTTTTATTTTATTTACATATTTAGCTTAGCAACTAAACTGGGGAGCGCTGCCCTGTCCACCCACACTGAGGCCATCACTATTTTTAGCCACAGCCTCCACTTACTTTTTTGCATTACTTGTCTGTAATTATTAGCTAAATATTATATTTTTTTATTTATAGGGAAATTAACAACAAACAATACACACACTTGTTTGTTATAAAGGCGTACCTTTAATTTACATAAAATAATAACTTTCGTGACAAAATGAGTCTTGTGGTACAAAAATTTAAAATTAGTGATATAGATAGATGACTATATCAGCTACAATTTGGTCTTTGAATCATGTTCTTAGATTAAGTAAAACCGGAGTAAGATCATTTTAAATTTCAGATGTCTAAAAACATATTTGGAAGAAAATCGCTTCCAAAACTAAGATAAACAACTGATAAATTTTGTGTTGGTTTCCTATAAATTCTGAAAAAATAGTTTAAAATGTGCCTAAAAAACATGATTACCTTAGCCTATGTAACTCAACTCAGAACTGTTGCTACTATGAAATATATATATTAAACTTATCAGAAATTTAAAACACAATTTTTGTTAAAATATCACTCAGATATATGTGTTTGAATATATCAAATTGGTCTGGCATACCAGGCTCATTTTGTCACAACTCACAAATTTAAAAAAATTAAAATAATTTAAATTATGCAAACAATAGAAAAACAATGTTTTCAGGTAATTTTAGTCATTGTAAAGTGCCTTTTGATGATTGTGTGTCTTATATTATATCGTGTTTTTTACATATATTCAGGAATTTAGAGGAAATTCTGACGGAAATACAACAGTTACTCGTTTATTTCCGGTGCCAGTTCTTGCAAAATACATTCGGATTTATCCCATAGCTTGGAGAAGACATATCAGTATGCGATTTGAAATACTTGGATGTTCAGGTTAGAAACTTATTACAGAACCATCATTTTGGTATTGAAAATTTTATTCTCCTCTCTCTCTTATCATAGGGTAATTGCCGCAGAGCAAAGAGTTCTATTATTCGGTCAGTCAGGACTTAAACGGCAAAAACAAAAAATGAGTTGGCCACGTTTTTTGAAATTCCAAAAAAATGGGTAGGTCGGTAGGAAAACTAAAAATGTGTTTACGTTTAAAAAGTGAAAAATAGACAGATAATACAACAATTTTAGATTCGAATCTCGTACCATACAGCAAAATAGGCTAGGCTAGCCAGGCCTAGGCTATTCCAGCTTTATTAGCATATAACAAATATTGTTCATTGTAGTTTCAGTCGAGTCCAGGGGTGGCGCCAGCGGGGGCCGGGGGAAAGTGCCCCCGTCGGAGAGAGCTACCCCCACCTCCCCGTCGGGGAGAAAAAAATATTATATGTATTTTTTTACATATTAGTAGACTCTAAAATCGATTAAATAAGCCTTCGAAACCCCTAAGTTTTATGGGGGCTTCGCACCCAGGACCACTTTCGGAACCTTTTAATCGAAGCTCGACCACGCCCATTTTGCTTTCGTCTGGGAAATCTGACATCTCGTCGGGGGGACCTCGTCCCCCCCCAACCCCGTCGGGCAAATCCTGGCAGCACCCCTGGTCGAGCCTGGCAAACACAATAATTATTTTTTATTTGGCCTATCAATGGGTCTTAATTGTTTTACAAGAAAATTTGTCCGAATTGCATCTTTCATAAAAGTTGATACAAGTTATTTTCATAACACAATCGAGAATTGTTTGATCTCGGATAAGTGTATTAAAGACCTGCTTCAAGCCAGTGCCTAAAAAAGTAATATTTTTATATTAGTTCGGTTGAAATATATAATAACTCTAGGCAGTTGTTTATATTTGTATTGATAAAGTTGTTATCAATAGAATCTATATTGTACAATACTGTTACTCCAGCGCTATGTTGGTTTTATGTTTGAAATAAGATAATTATATGACTATGATTAGTGCTTTTTACATTTTACTTCGTTCGGTGGCTATAAAACTATTAAAAAAATTAACCTCTGCCAAAATATTTTATAATTTGTACATATGCATTTCTAGAATGTTTAAAAAACACATGTTCTTTAATCATCAATAAATTTAACAAACAATAACAAATGCTAATTTTAGATAAAAATAAAAAATATGAATAATAAAATAAATGTAAATGATAAAATAATGAAATGTACCTCTAAGAATTTCCAGGGAGCAGGTAGAGTGGCGGTCCATCAAAGTACTGTAATGCTTTTCATATTAATAATCTAAGAGTGGGGAAGGGGGGGTGAGGAGATATAATCAAGGGAAAAAATGCTTTAAAAGTGCTAATCTAACAAACAAACAAGTTATTTTTGTGTTCCGGATGATGACCAATAACAAAATGATGAATTCCAGCACGATCTATGAATAATCTATTTAACATGTGTATTTTCTTATTTTATTTTTTAAGCCAATCGTTCAACCGCTAAGGTCGAAGAAAGCCAAACAAGTGAGACATTTCTACATCATCTCAACTTCAATTGTTTTGTTCTTCTCAATTTCATTATATTTTTTATTTAATTCAGACAATTTATGATTACTTATAGCCCAATAACTTGTATATAATTAAACTTTACTCATAAAAGTGACAAAAAGTAATTCCAATATTTCAAAAAGACAACCACCACTTCGTGGTTATCGACCAATTTCTCTCTCACCTACTTTACGCAAGATGTTGGAGCGCCTAATTTTTAATGGACTTTAAGTATTCTTAACCAAATATTTTATACTGTTTGTCCGTAGTCTACAGGGCACAGTTGTTATCATAAATTTGTAAACTTTTGTCACAATGTTCCATGACCAAGATCAAGATCGTCGAAAAACTAACAAATCTAATCAGAATTTGGTCACAATTATACATGAACAAAGATTATTATTATTATTGTTATTGTTGTGTTATTATTATTATTATTATTATTATTATCATTATTATTCGCAGAAGCTTTCGACTTTCAAGTCACTGATATATTTAATGATTGCGGTACACCACGCAGGTAGTTCTGAAAAGAGCTGTTGTTTGTTGAGAATGTCTCAACGTTTCCATAAATTTGCTTCAATCTTTTTCAGGAGAATAACATACTGGCTTTTGTATTAGCTTTTTCACAACTAGTTTTAGCTATTGTTTAATTTTCCACCAATCAGCAGCAAGTTCTCACCTTCCCATCATATAAGTGTATCTCCCTATGGTTAAAATACACTGCTGATACAAGGATTATAGAGCACTATAGACCAAAACGAGCTCTAACAAGCTCCTAATAGGTCGTTGGTTTACGACCTAAAACGACCAATCCATATGTTAGGCCTTACCACAAAGGATTGATTGCAAACACCGTTATCTTAATCCTATAATTACTAGCATTGCTTATATTATGTAACACCCTCATAAACAGAAATCTAGTCTCTCATGTGCGACGCTTGAATGACTCTTTATTATTGTGTAGGACTAGCGATAATAAACTATCTGTGACCAAACTAGTACAGCAGTAAGAGTATGGCTTCGCCAGCTAGGCCATATACGAGAAAAAGTATTAGATTTTTCACAACTAGTTTTACCTATTGTTTAATTTTCCACCAATCAGCAGCAAGTTCTCACCTTCCCATCATATAAGTGTATCTCCCTATGGTTAAAATACACTGCTGATACAAGGATTATAGAGCACTATAGACCAAAACGAGCTCTAACGAGCTCCTAATAGGTCGTTGGTTTACGACCTAAAACGACCAATCCATATGTTAGGCCTTACCACAAAGGATTGATTGCAAACACCGTTATCTTAATCTTATAATTACTAGCATTGCTTATATTACGTAACACCCTCATAAACAGAAATCTAGTCTCTCATGTGCGACGCTTGAATGACTCTTTATTATTGTGTAGGACTAGCGATAATAAACTATCTGTGACCAAACTAGTACAGCAGTAAGAGTGTGGCCTCGCCAGCTAGGCCATATACGAGAAAAAAACAAAAAACAAAAAAACAAAAAACGAAAGGACTGCCACGGAAACACATTGCGTGCACCACGCTTATAATATCAACGCCACGCTAAATAAATATGTAGGCCTAGATTTTATTCAAAACGTTACAAGATAAATACCGAAATGTCAACTGCAGGCAGTTCCACAACATTCACATGGTTCTTTAACAGTATTTGTTCAATCGCATATTGTGAGGCCGCCTTCAATTTATAACCCAACCGTACGAAAACATGTGAAAACAGCCTCTTTGTACGCCGCCTGTACATGTGCAAGTACAGAAAATACTGGCCGGAGGTTAATGATCTATGCTGGATGGGTAGTTCGCCGTTCAGAACCGTTATAGGCGAGATGGTCATAATAGTGAGTGACAATAATTGATAAAACAACGTTTATTAATTGAATTTACGTGAATTTCTTGTGAAACACGTTTTTTTATGCTGAATTTCGGCTCTGAATTCCAAAATGTACTATGGCTATACCATTGCCTACCTGGTGAAAGTTTCACTTACAACTCGCTCCCAATAATTACTCTGTTCTTGCTTTTCCTATATTACAGCTGCTCCCTTGTATTGCGCATAGAGAAACTTGTATTTTACAATATAAATTATGAATACATTTTACCGTTTAATCGCAATAAACAAAAATATACCCCCCCCCCCGATTGCAAATGGACGGTTCTAAACTGTGTATGCACGTGGTCTGTTCTTCGAGCTATGCTCAAACGCTCCACCACCGCAGTTCGACTAGTGACACAATTATTAAATCAAAAAACGTTTTATATTTTTAATAATGTTTTATTTAATTTGACTAGTCTTCCATTTTCTCTTTTTATATCAGGCTATCACAAAATCAAAATTACAAGATTATTTTAAGCCGTTTTATAATTCTCTCTTTCATCACTTGTAACAAAGTTTAATTGTTTTAATAGGTATATTTTAGTTTTCTAAAATTATTTTCTAAAATTATTGCACAATGGGTAAAAATAAGAATATAAATGACTAATTCTATAAAAAAGTATTTATCATACATGTATATAGTTTACAAATTGAATTCTTAATAATTATCATTAATTTACATTTACAGTATTTATATTATATAACTGAGATAATAATTTGAATGTCTTGAATTCTTAATAATTATCATTAATTTACATTTACAGAATTTATATTATATAACTAAGATAATAATTTGAATGTAAATGTATCCATCACTAAGATCTTACCATGTTATCATTTTATGTTATTGAATCGCAGCAAAACCAGTATTATACAGTATTTCAATAGGACTCATTTCTATAATAATAATTACTAGCTAAAATATTTTATTAAACAGGTTATTCATTCATTAACAAAATTAAATACTCCATTAATGTACTTTAATAGAGTATACTTTAATACAATAATGGTATTTGTCTAATATTTAGTATTCTAATTTGTTTAAATTTAGTATTTTTATTTAATAATAATAATAATAGTAATAATAAAAATAATAATAATAATCATAATAATAATAAAATAAAAATAATAATAAAAATAATAATAATAGAGTAGGCCCACAAATATACTAATATTAAAATTACAATTATACTGTATGTATAACTGTATGTATGTAGGCACCATAAACATAACACCATAATACCCACTTTAACAATGGTATATTCCAATTGGGTGGTTTATGTCCTAGGTGGTTTATGTCCTGGGTGGTTTATGTCCTACATTCCGTTTTAGCACTCTATTTTAACCATAGGGCTCTGTTTGGACTCTGCAGATAATACTCTCCTGAAGACGATTGAAGCTACTCAATCGAAACATCGAGACATCTTAACAAACAGCAGTTCTATTCAGAACTGTCTACGTGGTTTGCAAGCATTAAATATATGTGACCTATTTTTAAAACATTAGTCGTAGACTGGTGGTATTGTTTATTATTTACTTATTATTTCAATGATTATACTTGTACAACTAATTGTTTAAAAAAATATTTTCTAGACGAATGCAAAGATCGTTTAGGAATGGAGTCACGAGATATACAGTCGGAGGCTATTGTAACTTCGAGTGACTGGGATAGTAATCATGCTGGCCGCCGAGCGAGGCTCAACATAATACCAGATAGTGATGGAATAGGGGCATGGAGCGCTAAGTCAAACAATCTAGGCCAATGGATTCAGGTAGACTTGGGGGATATAATGACTGTGTCTGGTTTAATCACACAAGGACGCATAGCTTATTCGCAATGGGTTACCGCTTATATAGTAGAATACAGCTTAGATGGATCACAATGGAAATTTGTGTCACAAAATGACTATGAAAAGGTACGTAAAGGTAAAGTTTCTGCCAATCAAATGATAGAATTATAGTCAGATTATATAACTGTAATTCAGTTGATAGTGAGAATGAATCTTACTGCCTAATAATATTTGTATGATATTTTTTTTTAAGTCGAGGGTGTCATATTTTTAGTGATTCTAAATTTTAAAATGGTACTCATGAAAAATAAATCCTAGGCCTATAGTGTATAGGTATATAATAGATATGATGAACTAGGGCAGTATCAATGACTGTGTCCTTCACATTCACATTCTAATATTCTCGTCAACGTTGCCAATATCGTTTTCATTTGCGGAGTGATTCTTTTTTTAATTAACAATACATTAGTCATGTATTTTGAAGCAGTGTGTATCTGATTACAGTATTTTATTTATTTGGTATAAAAACCAATTTGATTGGATGAGAGGCCTCGTCGGAACGCCCATTTCTTTAGAGACATTGACTCGATCTGACACGCATCGACTAATGGTAAAGGATAGGCGGCAGTTCAACATTCCCGAAAAGCTCGTGCTGGTGTAAAGTTGACAAAAAAACAGCAATTTCTCAGCTAATAATTGCATAAAGTTTACCATTTTTGTATCAAAGGTAAGAGAAGAAATTTTAGCTGATTTGTACTATGTAAACATAGTTAGAATTAAGCGTTTAGTTTTTTGTTACGAGCAGTTTAAAAACGTTCAGTTATTTTTCGAAACCTGCAGCGTGATTTAGCCGGTTCGATGGACTCGACCATTATACATGTAGGCAAAGGCGGCCTAGGCTTGCTAAATTCTAACTATAGTATGGAGCGTCTTGGCTTCAAATTTTTATATACAGTGTTCTTATTGATTATACAGTACCATAAACTATATATATATCAGATATAGTGACTGACCAAAATTAATTTAAGACATTATAAAATGTTACAAATAATAATAATGACAAACAGACAGTCCTGATTATTATTTGATAAATCAGTAATAAAAATAAATATAATATAATTATAATATAGTAATTACTTAGGCCTATTGATATTATTGTATTTGTAGCTAAGTCTGAGTGTTGATTTGGTTAAACATTTCTAGCCATTTAACTTCCTACTTTATACAGCAAAATTTATCGAGGATTTTAGATCACACTTTTTTATGTGACTAATAATACATATAAAACATAGGAATGGCCAAACATAAAAAATACATAGAAACTTGAATCAAAATAATTTGTTTTCTGTTTAGATACCTACAGTCTAAATGAACACTAGGAAAAACAAAGTAGACTACCGGGCTTTATGTAATGGTCCAGAACTCGATGTCCGTAAACAGCGCAACGACAAGCAAGAAAGGTAGTCCACTACAAAGTATGTATTTTTCAGTCAGTAATGACTATATTGTTCTATTCTCCATTCAATTGAAAATATTAAACTAAATGAAATGAAATTGTACAGTTTTGTATCGGATAATTTTTTTGAAAAAAATCACTAATATTTGAATAGTGGTAAAAGGGAAAAAAACATTACGTAGCCAGAGTAAGACAATTTTTTAGTAATACGCTATCTCGCACTGCAAAATAAATGGTAAATTAACAGTACTGTTTAAAAAGGGAAACAGTTGTATAGAACCAGGGTGGGGCTTTAAAACCTCCCTGATAGAACAAAGACAGGCAAGGTGTGGTTGATTATCTTCAAATAATTATTAATGTATTATTACAGAAATGCTTAATAAAACTGTTTATATATAAATACTTGAATACAGGTTTCCCACACCACTTTGGATGCTTGGGTTTTCATGGTCTTTTAAAGCTGCTATCTCTAATTTTAGAGGGATATGTGCATATATCATGTCCCTATCGTTGAACATTTAATCTTTAGGTGAGACTTTTTATACCTTGTTTTGCAAACCCGCCACCCTCCAATATTGAAAATTTAAAATAAACAATTTTATATTTGGGAAATAAAAGATTTTCTTTTTATTTTTATTACACCTACAGCTGCCTTGAAATCTCCAAAAATAAGATAGGCCTATAGATGTATATATTACAGCCTATTGATATGAATTTAAAGTATTTACCCATCCCATTAATACATATTTAACCATAATAATATTTTATTTTTTATTTTATCCTCCGTCGGGATGTTTTTGGCAAAACTATTTACTAAAAAAACCATACTTGTATTTAAATTTTTTCCACCCACCTCTGATAAAACAAGGAATTAAAAGGTCATGTATCAGAACAAGTAATAAGGGACCATTTCAAATTAAACAATATTTTAATAAATTGCTTCTTATTCCTCAGATTGTTGATCTTGAAGTAATTGAGCAGAACGACGATTTGTGCTTAGTGCATTACATTGGTTGGGACAAAAATTACGAAGAATGGAAAGCAATTGAAGATGTTGTGGATTTGAAGAGCGTGAATGAGAATGCTGAAGATCTCATAATTAATTCCATCAAGGTGAACATCAAGCAAACCCTAATAGCGTCACGTGTCCAGAACCCAGAGGTATTAATTAATATACAAACACAACAGGAAACTTATGAAAATTTGTTTTCAAGTGTGGACAAATACTTAAGTTTAAAAGAAGCTGCTGCTATATTTGGTAACAATTTTTATTACCGAATATTGAACGAACATGGTGATACCGTTTACATTGCCCCTGAAACACTTACAATAAGATTGAAAAGTAACGGAGTACCTCAAGAAAGTAATTACTCAAAGACTTCTCTTGCCTAATAAAATTTGTTAGAGTCTGTGGTAAAGGTGGCAGATATCCCACCTATTTAATTTCATTAGCAATTAGAGATTTAGTATTGATCATTAATATTCATTAGCCTAAATAATTGTAGCTGTTTTTATTGCCGTTGTATTTTTATTTGTTTTATTTGCACATTTGCAAGGCATTGTTTCATTTCATTGGACAGTTACTGTTAATTCTCACGAAGTCCTGCAGTTTATTATTCATGCAAATTGGAATGACCCTCGGTCAATAATTTAACAAATTCTTGAAGATCAAAGCATCGATGCACATTTTGTTGATGTAGATGCAACTGCTAACATCTATAAGGGAAGATTTAAATATTTATTTCAAAAGTACAAAAAAAAAAATCAAAGATGGTTTGACAAAACAAAATTTTCTAAACAAGTTAAAAAATGAAGAATATGAGTTTGCCATAGGGACAATAGAACAAATGAGAGAGCACAATGCATCAAAATTGGCAAAGCGGAGAAGAATTGATAAAATGTTAAGACAAACCAGAAGGTTAAGAGTCTTAATTAAAAGAGTAAATAGACGCCGAATGCAAGTTCAAGAGGTTGGACCTATTGATAAATGGATTTTTGTAAAAGATACCGGTTGTATTTCTGATGCACTCTTCCATGAAATCAGTGCAACTGCTGGTGTCCATATTCCAACACTCAACTTCTTAAGAAAGCGAATTACAGAATATAATTCATTATTCACAGTAAAACATTTCCTCAATTAAATGCTGTCTGTCAACCATCAGAAGAGAAAATAGTAACAGCACTTTTAACATTCCATAAACTAAAGACAGGCTGCAATTTAAACAACGATACGGTAACAATAACAATCACAGGACGGTACTAACTTTGGTAATAATCAGACTATAACAAATATTGGTTTTAAAATTATATTTGATAAATATTTTAGCCCAGAATATGTGATTGTGATGGCAAAGATAAAATAAATAATAAAAAATAAATGACATATACACAAAGTGGTACTTTAGGGCCACTAGCCACAAACAACTTGACTGCCTGTAACAGATTTACTTAAAGCAAACAGGATTGAACATCTAGCCCCTACTTGTGCACGTGTTGTACATAGGTATTTCTGTTCAATTTGCAATCTCACTGGTCATAATATAAATACATGTCTAAATAAAGTGTGAATATCAGTTTACAAATTATAGTATTGTAAGTTTTCAATGTGCTATTTTTTCTGTATCGGGCTCGGCTGCCCTTCCAAAAATTGAATTGTACGTAAACTAATGTGTATATTTGCATAAAGAATTATATAGTAATCTGATATTAATTTGTACTCTATTTTATTATTTTTTAAAGTGTATGAATATAAGTTGATTTCATCATTCTGCAATAACTTGTGTAAGGATAATACAGTATGTATTTTTTTAAAGAAATATCATGTAAAGTGCAACTCTCAAGTGAAAATAAAACAGCAATAAGTAAGTGCTAAGAAATGTATACAGTATTTTATGCAAGTCACAATTTAGATCTAGATTTTAGATTTTGTGTAATAAACTAAGCATGTATGAGTGCAAACTTTTACTTAGTTGGGTAATTAATTTACTATCAAGTATTACACACAGTATTGTAGTTATGTTTCATTTTAAATCATTCTTTATTTAAGTGCAATTATGATGTATATGAATTTATATTATTTGTGTATTAACTGTAAAGTTATTGAATTGTTGACTCGCAAACTAAATTTAACAATGTGTTTTAATTTGATTAATACTTAATAATAATGTAATTTTAAATCATCCTGTATGAACAGGACTGGAATATCGTATGGTGATTTTGTATGTAAATGTTATAGTATTGAATTAATGTTAAAAGATACAAATGTAAATAACTTGAAATATTGTACATCCTTCAATGAATAAATCAACATTTTTTTGGATATATGATGTTAAATCAAAAACACAATATGCCAGTAACTCTGGACTCTGAAATAAGTTTTCAATGTACAATAAATACGAAAGGAAAGTTTGAATTGTCTAAGAATATTTCATTTATTATTTGTGATTAGGTGCCTAACATTCCCCTTTAAAGTAAAGTGGTACGGTCCAACGTGGTTGTGTGAGCTACACTGTGTGGCGGAGAGATTACAATAAGATCGAGTGATAAGAACTCTACGCACTGAAATTAAATAGGTTCAAAAAACAAAACAAATTGTAATGATATATATATATATATATATATCATCAAAAAATGTAAATACATATATATATATATATATATCTTCAAAGAATCATATCATGCTATATATATATATATATATATATATTATCAAAAAAATATAAATACAGTGGACAAAAGGACATAATAATACATCGTGTTACCAAGGCGAGCGTCATAGCCATTAGACCACGAAGGCTTCATGGTTGAACAGATTCAAATAACACTAGATACATTACATTATGTTAGCGGCTATCTTGATTTACATTAATTTATATGCACCTCTTTGTTTCTAGTCGGATCTATAATAAAATGTAAACTGTAAATAAATAAGAAATATAGGGCCCTATATTACATTTACACACATGTGAAACGCGACAAATTTTACATCTATTTTAATCATCGTTTTCAGCGTGTTTAGTCAAAACATAGTGATTGATTGTTATTTTGAATGATCATTATATATAATATTAAACAAGTATCCACGGAAGTTGTTTTGGAGTAAAATCCACAATCTCAGTATTTAAGAAGGTAAAAACGCCAGATTAAAATTTGTGTAGGGGCCCACAACAACAACAGTCAAAAACTGATCAGGCCTAGGCCCTCAGACCTAGCTGCTTAGGCCGATTCAGGCCTGGGATTTCTTTTTTGTTTTGTAATTTTCAATGAAGGTATTGGCTCCTTCTTTCCGTATATCATTCAAAATATGAAAAATAATGTAGCGTATATTATATTGTAGAGAGGGATTTATTATTAAGGTGTTACATATGGAAATTATCCTCCAAATTTTCGAGCCAAAAGGGCAATACAACTTTTTTTTTTGTTATACGTTACAACAATATCAAGTTATCTTGTATTTTGTATAAATTTAATTAACTTCAATTGCAATCCTCATTCTTGATCCCCCAACCCCCACCCACAGAAAAAAAATCGCTGGTCCATTACTGCATTCCAGGTCAATCACAGTGATAATTTACAGATGTAGGCCTATAGGGCTAACAAAATCTAGGATCAGTACATGCCTATCATTGTGTTTAAAAAAAAGAGGATGTGCTTCTTTTAACCGCTTTATTACCAATAACCGGTTTCCTACTTCAGGGTTATTGAACATCTCGCTTCGGCGCGTACTACGATGAATAATAAATTAAGTATATATAAATGAATAGTCTGATAAGTAATCTAATAAATGAATAGTCTGATAAGTAATCTAAGTCTTTATTTAAACCGTTAATATAAGAATTGCTTCTAAGAATCAACTTCAATTCTTCTATGCGTCTATGTGAGAGGATTAAAAGTTATTAGCGACCAAAATAAATCTTATGTCATTAATGCTATGGTTAGGTAGATTGAAGTGACAGGCTACTGGGAAACCAGTGGAGTTGTCTCTGATGGTTTTTTTGTGATTATTAAATCGGAGGCGGAATAAATAACGGTTTAAATAAAGACTTAGATTACTTATCAGACTATTCATTTATATATACTTAATTTTTTTCTTGGTTCCTAGGCCTTTATCCAGCTTTTATCTACTTTGTTTATTCCATATTTAGTAGAACGTTTAGGATGCGCATCTTATTACGCGCCTTTGTTCTTTACCGCTGATTCGATGTTTGTTAGAAATACACCTTTAATAAATCAAAACTGATCTCAAGCTAACAATTCAGGCTAGGATTATAAATTGAAACTTTTTAAAGTGATGTAGATTAGGCGTCTTTTTAAGTTTATTTATTGGCTGTGCTAATTTAGATGTACCACCAGAAATACCCTGTTTGATGATTTTGTGTCTGATATTGTATTGTTTAAATTTGTTATATAAATTTAGGAATTTAAAGGCAATTTTGACGCAGATACAGCGGTTACTCGTTTGTTTCCGGTGCCAGTTTTTGCAAAATACATTCGAATTCATCCAATCGCTTGGGTCAGACATATCAGTATGCGATTCGAAATCCTTGGATGTTCAGGTTAGAAAGAAATTACAGTACATTTATTACTATTTTCTCATTCAATCAATCCGGACGTGTCATAATAATGCGTCTTAATTGTTTTACAACAAATACAAATACATATAACTAACAAATATGCCTGAATTGCATCTTTCATAAATTGATAGAAGGTATCGCCCTTTGCCTGAGTATCAACTGAGCTTTAATCCAAGGAACATATTCATCGTTTTGATTCTGCGATTGTCTGTATGGACGCTTTAAAAACAATGTATCATAACACTGAATCCAGTACGAACTTGTGTAAAATGTAGTATGGCTGAATAATAATCTATAAATCATTTGTGAGTCAATTAACCTGTGAATTTGTATTTTCTTCTTTTTTAAGCCAATCGTTCAACTGCTGAGGTCGAAGAAAGCGCAACAAGTAAGACATTTATATATCATCTTAATTTCATTTCATTTTGTATAGCTTACTTCTTTTCATTCTATTAAGTTGTGAGTGACTTTTACACGTGAATGTTATTTCGACTTAATTATTTTCAAAAGCTCTCAAGGATAAAGAATAAGGTTTTGGTTAAAAGCGAGGGAGATACTCAAATGGTAGAAACATTTTTTTTTTTAATATGTTCTAGTAGCCAGTTACATGATGTGCATGACTTTACAGTTGTTAAAATTTAATTGCATATAGTTATAGTGCACCAGGTTGAAATATTATTTAAATCAGATTGAAGGATAAGGAAGTCTTCAGCATTGCTGATAGCTTAGATGAAGGTAGGCCTACGCATGATGTCAGATCAGCAACAAAATATAAATAGACCCAAAGACGGATCCTTGAGGGAATCTAGACAATACAGGCATCCACTCAGAGTATTTGCCCGTAAACTGGACTTTTTGGAATCTGCCAAGAAGCAGTGAGGTTAACCAGGAAAGAGCTTGTTTCTGAATACAAACTCGGTTCAGTTTAGAAAGCAAAAGCTTATGATTTACTCTGTCATTGCCTCAGTCACTTTATGTATTTTACGTGGAGGATTTGGAATATCAAGATTTTTTGTCCTGTCATGTATTAATGCACAGACTTGAGTGGTACATAATCTGCCAAGTGAAAATGCTAACTAAATAAAATATTGAAAATGGCCGCCAAAAATCACAATTTTGGCTCTAAGTGCCTACATTACCATGATCTTGATGTCAATACCTATGTTCTTTAGTTTAAGGAATCCATTAAAACATTATTAATATACAGTAACAATGTAACAATTAACAATTAATGTACAGTAATGTAGCCGTGAAGGTGTTTAAAAAATGTTGAGGGCCTCAGTGATGAAAAGCTAAGAGCAACGGTATTCTGAGAAGCAAAAATGATGCTTTCTGTTACCCCTCATCCAAACATAGTAAAATTGTTAGGATATACGTTTGTTCCTACAGCCAATAGTATATCATCAATCGGATGATCATATTTATTAAAAAAATACAAACAAACAAACAAACAAACAAACAAACTTTTAATGTGATGATGTGCAAACCTTGCCTACTACATATTATTATTCAGGAATAATACTGCCTAGGCCTAATACACAAACTTGAATAATTATACTGATTAATGCACAGACTTGAGTGGTACATAATCTGCCAAGTGAAAATGCTAACTAAATAAAATATTGAAAATGGCCGCCAAAAATCACAATTTTGGCTCTAAGTGCCTACATTACCATGATCTTGATGTCAATACCTATGTTCTTTAGTTTAAGGAATCCATTAAAACATTATTAATATACAGTAACATGTATATCTTTATCGTTAAAATGCAAAAATAATTAAAATATTGAAAATGGTCGCCAAGTATCACAAATTTGGCAGTTTTAAGGCGCTAAGTGCTTACTTAGAGCCGGCCTTACTTAGATGATCATGGTGTCAATACCAATGTTCTTTATTTTTAGGAAACTAATAGAATATAATTATATAAAACACAATAACATCTTCTATGCAAAATAAATGTATTCAAAATTGCCGCCAAAAACACATTTTAGTATTAAAATCTAACATGACCTTAGTGTTCACACCTAAAGTTTAGTTCCGAAAATCCAATTAAACACAGGCCTACATAAACTACTATAAATTATTAATTGTAATAATACAGTAAAATATAAATTCAAAATCCAAAATGGCGGCCAAAACTAGGTTTAAGTTATTGAAACGGCTACGAGTGCACTGCTTTTAGGTAAAATAATCTAATAGAACATATGAAGTATTAGGGAGCGTCGCCAAATTATCCTACCGCGGTAAGCCTTAATCTACCGCACCGCGGTAGACACAAGGCTGTGTATGCAGAAAATTTGCATATCACATTGCATACAAGTCTACCGCGGTAGATAGCTGTCTTACAAGTCTACCGCGGTAGATAGAAACTGCCTTAGGGCCAACTGTAGAGTGTAACCTTAGAACCAAGGACATCAACCTATCAACCTAGTTCTTTAGATTAACAGTCCAGATAAACAGATTGTGCTCATGACATGATATCGACATATCAAAAGTTAACCTCTTGTTTACGACAACACATGCCCGCGATTTCCTTGTGCATGAACACAACGAAAAACGCTTGCGGAGCTTTGGAGAAGTGGCGATGTATTTGTACCCTACAATTTATTGGCTATCTAAAACTATATTCCGTGAAGAAATAAGACTTTTCTCGAGCACCAAAGAAAAGGGATCATTTCGGTCGCGCCTTCTGTTTGGTCGCGCCGAATTGTTCTGCATTTCGGTCGCGATAAACTGCCTCTAAGTAATGCCGATATACGCACAAGTGCTTTATGTTTGGAAAGTAATTTTTAAAGGGTTGTGTATTTTTAAAGTTTGTTTGGTGCGTGTTTCGGACTGGGTATTAATTAATTTATTTTGTATTTTTGTTTTTACGATGCTTGACTATCTTAGGCCCAATATTCTTTGTATTTTTTATTTTTTTAAAGTATGATTCAGTCTTTGAAGTTTTTTACAATTGTTATTAATTACAAGTAATTTGAATATAATTTCCCGTGTTCTTTTTCTTCTTACAGATTCAGAAGTAAAAAGTCAAGTACATATTTGTATTTATCAATTTCTGAATTATTCATAATAAAGGCCGCCGAGGAATGTTGTTACGATTATGATTTAATTTGTTTAATCAAATATACTTTTATATCAGAATATTAAAATATATTATTTTTACATTCCATTTAAACTATAGTATTTTACAATTCATGTATTTTTTTTTTTAAATATGATCATCAGATTGATGACTCGAAGTTAATGGTGACATGAAGTAGGTGAACGCACTTGAACACCTTTACAGCGTCTGACCTACTTCTGTCTTTGCAGTGTAACGCGGACATTCCTG